CCCAGAGCTGACCCTGCCCCGTGAGGGAGCGGTGGCCCTGGGGCCATAGCGAGGGCTGGACTGCCGGGCTCGGTGCCGTTGGTGCCAGCGCTGCCTTCCCGCTGCAGGCACAGGAGCGCGGACACCACGTGGAAAGGGGCCGGGAGCAGGTGCCGCATGACGGCTGGGACCCTCAGCAGGGCTGGGGGGCCTCTGAGGTGGCCGGGATGGTGGTGACACCTCCGTGCCCACCCGTCGCCTTCCGGAAGTTTCTCCATGGTGAGGCCAGGGGGTGGCTGCGTCCCTGCCCTTTCCTCCGCCATCCTTCCCTGCTTCTCTTTCCACCTTTCTTCCCGTTTTTCCTCTTGCTCTCCATGGCCTTGCAGCAAGGAGCTTGCCAGCCTCAAAATGGCGCCTCCCTTGTGAGGGCAGAGCCGCCTGCGCCCCTTGCTCTGCCACAGCCCCCTGCCTCCCCGCACCATGGCTGCCCCGCCGCCCCCATCCTCCGCTTTCCCATTGCTTTCTCTCCCAAATTTCCGCAGGGTTTTTGCTCCCCTGGGAGGGCAGTGCTGGGTGCCCCCAATGCCACCCGTGCCTGTGTCTTCCCCCTGTCCTGGTCGCCCTTCCCCGGCCACGCTGGGCGGTACAGGCTGTTATTACTGCTGGCAGCCGAGCAACCAGCGCGGCTCCGGGAATGCCGCGAGATGGAAGGAAGCTGCTTAAGGCCGGAGGAAAACAGGAGCAGAAAACAATCGCCGCTCTGCAGGGAAGCAGGGAGGGAGGGAGAGAGGACGGACGGAGTTTAGCTCCTGCAGGTCACTCCTGGGGGGTGACAGGACCCGGGTTTGGGGACTGCTGGGCTGCAGGGCCGAGTCTGGCGCAGCTCAGCATGGCCGGGTGTCCCCTGCAAGGGCCATGGCTCCTGGGCAGGGATCCCAGCAGCGGAGCAGCCCTGCTGACTTATCCGGCATGTGCCCGGCCACAGCCCCGCGGGGCAGCGCCAACCTGTGCAAGGGCCTGCAAATCCGTCCTGCACGAGCTGTCTGGTTCATCTCCCCAGCAGCTCGTCCTGGACGAGGAGCTGGGAGCTGCCGTGGGGTGGCAAAGCAGGAGACGCAGGCTCAGAGCCAGCAGGAGCGCT